GCGTTTTAATTTGGATAATTAATATTTGTGGAAGAGAATTTTCAAACCTTATAGCAAACCAGTAAATGAACCAGAATAAACTCAATTGTATTAATTGTATCCTTTAAATTACAATATAATCTTATTTTTTTAATTATTTCATATTAATACATAAATAAGAAAATTTTAAAAAAATGTTTAATGGAAAAAAGGGTTCACAACAACCCAGAAATGTAGTTGCCCTCCCCCTCTTCTTTTATTGCGCACGGCTACTTCTTTTATTGCAACATAAGTAAATTAATTTGATACCTGTCTAGTGACTGTGTGTGTGGCAATATGTGTAAACTAATTAGACGTGTAACATCTGATTATGTGACATCGTAATTGATAGCCAAGAAACTGCATTCAAAACCTTTTGTTTTCGATTGTGCACGCCTACGATTACAACACGTGTAAATTAATTATACAACTGTCTAATGACCGTGTGTGTATGGTAACATATGTAAAGTAATTAGTTGCATATCTGTTTTTGTGGCTTAATAATTTGATAGTTGAGAAGCACTGCGATCGAACCCTCTCCGGCATGCCAGCTTTGTTAAGCAGCCATGGCGCGGCTCAGCGCGTCGGCTGGCGACTTTCGAGCTGCGATTCAGTGCTGGCGCGGCTCCACAGCGACCAATCGACGAAGGATTTTCCTCTCGTAACCTCGTTCCGTTTTATCGCCGCCATGCGCAAGCGGATATGACTATTTAAATATCAAATGAACAGGGATATACGCACTATTGTCCTTTAATTCCCCGTGTATTGATTGAAGTCCGCAAATATCAAATCCCGCTCTCGCCACCACGCACGTCACACAGAAGCGCAGAGGCGGGCGTTCGCCGGGCGACCGCACGTGCCGGGGGTTTTACGCGGAAAGTCAGCAACGCATCGGGGAGGTTGAATGTGGCGTTGCAAGATGCAACAGCTATACAAAACCAATTTTATTTACGCTCGCATTTAAGAGAAACAAAAGGAGCTTTGGAGTATACGTTTCATTTGAGAGTCTATATTCAAAAAGCGGACGTTTCTGCTTTGAGGATTGCCACGCGTGGAATTTCGATAGTAGATAAGAGGCGGCGTCGAATGTGCCGCTGTCTGGTAGAAAAATTTAGCTGCTCGTTACTCTGAGATTTACTTGAGCCTCTAATCGATTCCCGGCGGTTGTCAGAAGCCATTCAGTCCTCCGCCTTCACCCTCACGTTCGAACGGGTAATGCTTTTATAAGTTTGCGGTCAGGGGACAGAATGTCCTGACCATGGGGTGGTGGCAGGGGGCCGTGGCCCCTCTATAAATTTAGAAGAGGGAACTGCGTATCCCAACGTAATATATTTTATTTCCGTAAATATTTTAATCTCTCCTTTCTCATTAAATTAGAGCTAACAATTTGGGAAAGTCATTCACAATCAGGGAAGATTCTCTCAAAACCAACTGATGATGATGTAAATGGCTCCACATGAAATCACTTATATTTATTAATTTATCATTTAAGTAATTTCATTCTCCTTGTATTGTTTTATTTATTTGTACAATATGCCATTGGCAGCTAAAAAAGTTTAATAGAAAAGGACAATCAGACAAGAGAAGAAGAAGCATTTAGCCCCCATCTCGAAGGCTTCAAACGCTTGTGACTGTAGGAGGTGGTCCTAGATTGGGTTATAAGTTACCGACCGAGCGCGATCCAACCTTTCCCTTCTTTTTCCCATTCCCATCCCTGGGGTAGTTCGTCACTCTGATCTATCTCCATTGGCCCATTCCATGATCCAAAAATGAGTGTAGTATTGAGACCACGCGGATGTTAAGCGAAGAGTCAAATTATATTGTAACACCGTAGAAACAATTTCAAACAAATATGGGAGAGGAGACAATAACGTTATATTACATGTTGATTGTATCTTGATAAACCAATAGAATATAATTACCACAATATCATAATTATACTAGTGAAATTATCCACATATTTATTTGTTAAAAAAATAATAAAAACTTATCTAAAATGCACGTAAAAATGACATGAATTTCAAAATAAAGTTTGGGTAATATTAAAAGGAAATATATCAAGCAATCTCCTTTGTAAGAGAAAGAGCATAGAAGGATAGCAATAATGGTTCCAATTAATTTCAGCCAGGAAAATTTGCATTTGTCATATTATTCATTTAAATTAATTTGGTTAAAAACCCTTTGCAATATGGCAGTTATGTTGTCCACTATATTGTAAGCAATTTATTGTACTCAAACGATATGAAAAAATGTATAAACACCTATTAGCTACTTTTTAATCATAAATATTTTTCTTTTCTGTATTTGGCAGTATTCTTTGATGGACCTTTAAACTTACAAAAACATGAGTAATGTGAAACATAATAAATACAATATACTACAAGCAGTATCACCTAGTAGCACCTTGCAGGGCAATGTGAGGTGAATGACAGGTAACCTAGTGTACTGCAACAACGTTTACTCTCACATATGTGAACTAGTACAGTCTTCATATGTGAACTAGGCTGATGTATTATTTTGAGTTTCTCTAAATATTAATTTTTCAGGAGCGTTGATTCGAATTTTTCAAAATTATTTTAGACGTTGCAAACATCAAGACACTTTTTTTCTAAATGAAAAGAAATCGTTGCCACGAGACGCCTACATTGAAAAATACAACAATAATAGAAGAAATAAGACAAGAAAAAAATACTTTTATTGGCTGAGGAAACTACGGTAACGGCAACGGCAAGAGGTTCCTGACCCTTTTGTAAGTACCGACCAACTTCCGCTACCTTGCCGCTCGTCATGGCTTTCATCCCACTGCAGACCAAAGATGGGGAATACTTCGAAGTCGACGTGGAGATCGCCAGGTGCTCCAAAATGATGGAGGCCATGTGTGAACAACCGGGACCTTCACAGGACCCTGAGGTAAATCTACGAGTAGAGAGGAATGCCAACAGCAAAACTGTTTGGTTTAGACATACTATGTGCTTAAAACATATCAGTGAATGTATTTCGAAAACATTTGGGGCTAAAATGCAGAATGCCTGTATACAGCAATTTACCAGGTTTAAGATCAACTTCACGACGTCCACTCTTAAGTATATAACATCAATATAATTCAACCTTACAAATTTAATTATTTCACTTCAGAATAATTTTTTTTCAATTTTAATCTGCACACTTAAACGCCGTACATGAAATATGATGTATAAATGATGTGTATAATATAATAATATAATTACTGTAGTTTCCTTTTCACTCTCTAGCGCAACTACGAAACAATTCCGCTATGTAGATGCACCGATAAGGTTTTGTGTAATTTATTACAATTAAAATTACTCAGAATAACTACATACATTTAATATTATCTGTTATATTAGAATAATTAATATTATAGAGAATAACGTAATATTAACAAGTCTGGTAACAATAATATTTTGAATTCAAAAAATTATAATCTTGAATAGTAATCTTCCCAGTTACGCTCAGTAAAGTTTTAGTAATTTTAAAATTCTGTAAAATCAGTAACCTAACTTTAAAATTGTGTGTATGTGTCTGCAAATTTAGAAAACTTTTGTAAACAATAGAAACAGAAAATACAGCTAAGCAAAAACAGAAAAAAATGATATTTTTGTTACGAACGGAAAATTTGTCTCATCGTAAGACGTAATCGACGAGTCCTAAAATCTTTACAATATATTTTAATTTACAATACTTGTGAAAACGAAAGACTGAATACAATGAAAAGGAAAGAATTTAACATTATGAGCAAGGTAGTAATAAATAATGTGAAGAATTCATAAAACGTTGAATGTTTACCGGTCATTAAATTACATATATTTTATAAAAGGTTATTATAAACGTACATTTTAGATCAACATTCTTGTGAGAAAATTAAAATAAAAAAAAACATTATTTATCACGCATCGCGAAAATGAAACTGTTTTATTCCGGTCTCAGTCAGAAGTGCTGCGACTTGACATCGACGGCGACACCCTTCGCAAAGTGTTGTTGTGGTGTCAACATCACTGTTACGACACCCCCAGTCCAACCAATCAATCTGCACACGCTCTGCGCTACCTCTCAACGCAGTGGGACGAAGAATTCATAGAGGTCGACAGAAAAGTTCTTTTTGAAATAATTCGAGCAGCTCACATTCTGAAAATCGAGCCGCTTATGAGGCTGGCTGTCTCCAAAATGAAGCAGGTAAATATTACTGTGGTTTTCTGTTCTTTTCTGTTCCCCCGTATTACTATTTCTTGCTGTAACCCTCATTTTTCTTCTAACACATTATTTTACTGCGCTCATTATCTTTCTCATAAACTCCCCATACGAACTCAGTATTGATTACCAGTAGAATATAAATAGCAAGTAAGAAACGTACTTTTTTAAACGAATGGAGAATAAAAAGAGCGATCGGAACAATTGACTTGTAATGGCTTTTGCATGGAAATGAACAGAGCATTACACTTCGTGATAAATATAATACCCTACTTTAATTAGGTATATAAAAAGCAAGACCAAAACATTCACTGTGATAAATTAGAGGAGAGTAAACGGTATCGACATGGACAGCAGTATTATCACGAAATAATTTTTTTAAATTACATCGTTATAATGACCTAATTGACTTATATCAAATGACATCACATACAAATAGATCAAAGATTCATTTTTCACAAATCTTTCATGAATAATTATCACTCATGGTAGGAAATGCAAAGAATACAGTGATAAGAGAGTACTGCACAGGAATGTCACAATATTATTTCATAACAATGAAATAGATTCTAGTGAAATTCCAGTTACCTCGCAGAATAGCGTGGCTGAGAACACATTTAAATTTTCGCTGTTTAAAAGAAATTCCGTGAATAAACTTTTTTAAAATATCCGATAGTCCCATTGAAATTATTAATTGGAAAGGCGCCAAAACAATTAAAATCGAAATTAATAAATCGGAATTGACATTAATTGTGGAATCTCGTGAAACGTTACACCGGTCATCGCAGCGAGCAACCATTGCATGCAACCGTTGGCCACCGCAGCGCGCAACAATCGCATGCGACGGTCGCCCGCGGCTGTAGCGTTCGCATGTAGCACCCAACCGCGCGGGGGCGGGGGCGGTTGCTGACGCGCGCGGGCTGTTGGTGTCGCGGCGCGGCGCGGCAGTGTGCCCTGGGCGCGCGCGCTTGCGTCGGAGCGCCACCGGTGGCGCGCTCCGCCAGTGCCGCTTAGTGTGTGTTGCGCCGGCCGCTTGTGCCGCGTGGCGCGGCGCCGCGCAGTGAAGGTGGCGGGCGAGGACGCGGGCGCGCGCCGGGACGCGGGGCGCGCGGGCGCGCGGCACGGGCCCCAGGGGCCCGCGACCGCCGCGGCCAGCCCCGCGCCGCCGCCCGACTCGCGTGCCCGCCAGCGCCCGCGCCTCCGCTGACGCCGCGCGCCCGCGCCAAGCCCAAGCCCACGCGGAGCAGTCTGCGCGGCCAGCCATGCTGTGAGCTTCCACGGAACGCCCCGCGTTCCTTCATCCCCATCTTCAACCCCATCTCGTCTTTCATTCCTATCTTTTCCTTCAACCCCATCTCTTCCTTCATCCTCATCTCTTCCTCGGTCATCAACTCTGGTTGGAGAAAGCTAGCCGCTAGCCGACGGTAGGAAGAATTTCACCGCTACCTCACGAGGAAAAAAACATGCACCACTCTCACGGAACTAGTGACCTCAGTAGTTGACGCGTTCGGAATCACTAACAACTAACCAATTAATCAATCAATCAATCATCAACTCCTTCTCCATCACTATCTCTTCCTCCACTTCCAACTGCAACCCCTCTATCACTCATTCATCAGTAAACAGTTTATCACCGACTTCTCCATCACCATATCCTTCATCCTTCGCGATCAGCATTTTCCACTTTATTACCATCGTTTTCTTCCTTTCAGCACCATGATTTTTAACGTCATCATCATTTTTCCTTTACCACTATCTTCGTCTGTTATTCAACTTCGTGGACAAAGTTTATTGACGAAAAACATTAGAGATTCTAGGAGTGTGCTAACAAGTGCCAAGTTAGTTTGGCAAAGACGCGGCCTATAGGAACACAAAGAAATTACAAGACTTGAGACTCAAGTAGTCAGAGTTTCAATCTAAGCAATTGGAAATTGTATGAAAATTGACTAAAATAGCTGACAGTTTTCAAAAGAGAAAAAAATACTATAAGTTTATTTCTGTGATAATTAACATTGCTTACTCAGAAATGCAGTCGTTCTTTACAGTACCTCTTCAGGGCCTTCTAGATCTGTACAGAGTGCTACCCCCAAAGATTAGTGAGTAATTTTTTACTTCGTAAATGGAAAGAAGAATTTTCGTAGAAGAGTATCATTTCCTCTTATGAGTATCTCTGATATTAGGGGAATTCACCCCAAAGGCCCTACTTACGATTGTGTGTGAACAAGAATTGTTGCAAACACACATCGCTCCTCTGCGTATCTGACTCAGATATTCCATCACATTGCAGTGTCCTGCTACGCAGTCAGTACCTCGTTGTCCAGCCAGCACCAAACCTCCTCAGTCGACACCCAACTGCAAGCATTGCACCTCTCTCACCACCCAGAGCAACGGCGACAAGGTCTTTTCGAGCGCGGACCCATATTACTTTGTAATAGAGTTATTTTAATGCTTCATAAACGAACAAAAACAGTTATAAAAAAGCGCCAATAAAGCGGCGTAATTCGATGTGTCGTCGATTTCTCGCTTCCAATCGGCCGGGCCGCTGGCGGGCGGTGCGAGAGGATCCATCACGGAGGTTGACAGGTAATTCTGTGACGCGTGCGCCGACCCACGCCGCGCCGCGCCGCGCCCCGCACACAAAAAAATTAATTTCTGCGCGCCTGTCAAACGCCGCCGGTTTCGAGGTGCGTCAGAGACGAATGCAGGAGGCCGCGGCCGCAATCGGCCAGCGATGAAACGCTACGTAACGCGTGTATAGGGGGCGCAGTATAACTGCGAACTTCGCGCTTGTTGTGGGGAAGCGTTTGTTTGTGTAGGCCGCCACGGCCGCAGACAGTTGATCAGATAAACGAGATTTTTTTTTTAGTTTTATTAAGTAACAAAACATTCTACTCGAAGTCCGTATACTATTGAAATCGTGAAGGCCCTGATACATAAATATGTACAATATGGAATATCCAGTGGCTGGTTAATAACATTCTAGATACCGGAACGCGCCTTAAATTGGTTTATTAGAAATAGTTATTTCTTTATATATAATTTAATCATGGTATTATAAATCACCTTTTAAAGAATGATAATAATAGTAAAGAAACCATTATAGTTTACAATGATATATTAACCATTTTTACTAATAATTTTATTCGATTCTTAATAATGATACAGTTAATTGTAAAACTATTTCATTTCCGTTGTTACGGAAGTTGGTCGAACTAAAAATCGAAGTTACTAAGAACTTGTACTCTGCCGTTTTTCCTATTTCGTTCCAGAGGTGTCTGAACGCCGTTCCCTCGCGTTCCGATACAAATCAAGCCTTGGGTATATCTAATCTCTCAATCTATCGGTTCACTGGTGAGAACTACAATGGCTTGACCTCATGTAATTCATAATAACCTATATTATTCGTGCTCTTTAATATAATTAAGAATCTTTAATACAGGATTTGTGGAATTGGAAGAAAATCAACACTTTTTCATATTGTAGATATTAACAGTTTGTGAAAGTTCAAAACACTTGATTTTTCTGTAGCATTTTAAATAAAAACATTTCAATGAAAATCTTAATCGGTTTTAAAAGAATTATTTTTAGAAAACAAATCAAAACTGGAATGTAAAGTTTCAGAAAATGTGGACACGAAAGAAAATTCAGCTCATTGCTGTTATTAAAAAAACTTACAAAGTACTTTGAAAAGAAAATTAGTAGCACCAAGTTAGCATTCAGGTTTTCATAGTCAGAGATTTACAAAAAAAGATGTTTTAAGCGCTGCATTAAAATTCAAACCTGGGAATCTCATTTTGTAAGAAAACACCAGTTGGCACGGAGCAGAGTTCCTACCGATGTTAAATAGTTTTGTAGATTCAGCAAACAGATTCAGCTGATACGGAATGTAACATTTACCTTACTATTCAGTCGCTCGCGCTGTAGTTGTTCTGGTCTGAATGCACAACGGCAGGTCGCCGGCGGTCGAAAGCGTAGACCAGATACCTCACACCGCGCCCGCACGAGCCCTACTGCGCCAGCAAAGCCTCTCCGCTGTGGCACTTTGCTGGTGAGAGTGCATGCAACAGAAGTTACGTTGGTAGCACGACCTGCAGCTTCTAACAAATGAAAACGTAAATTGCATACTCACCACATTCCATAGCTCCATGCCACAATCGTAATAGATGCTGGAAGTGTTGACTCCTTCACAACAACCAGTGATCTGGTTGCTGCAATAAACATAAACGCAATTTTTTGAAGGCGGCTCCACACAAGCGGCATTCGACGAAACCCGAGCAACCGCACGCCGAATCCCGAGTAGTGTGGACGGATCGCTTGCGATTCGCCGAGTGCCGAATGTTCGGTATTCGCCCTACCTCCGCGTGTCGCTCTCTAGGATATATTAAAGCGAGAGAACTTTCGCCCAACACTCTTCAGCTGTTCCGGATTGGGCGAGCAGTAGCTCGCTGCTCGGCGAATGCCGAATGTGCGGAGCCGCCTTAATAGGAGGCCCCTCGTTGGCTCAGTGCGGAGAGACTTTCGTACTTATCCGCCTGGGAAGGTCGGCGCTCCTACGAGTAAGGGCAACTTCCCCTAACTCCGCTCTTTAGAATTATGTTCTATTAAATCATTCAGTTATTTGTTATATATAGCTATAATGTGAAATAAAATAACAAGTTCCTATAAAATTAATCTTCGCATATGGGCCGACACCTCTTTTAACAGACGAGAGTCTTTGTAAAATCATCTAACATAAACGTAGGAAGTTAATGCAATTATTACATTTCTCAGTAAAAATATTATAAAATCTAGATACTTTTGACTCAAAATGGTTAATTTTACTCTCAACTGACAATTGTCAATCTGACTTATATATTTATCATTTCTTGGCTTTAGTTGAGGAAATGGAAGTTAATATAGCTATATTTGGAGAAATAACAGTCAACTGACTTTTCCAAAAGACTGTCAGGGTTCACATGTTCAGTGAAGTACCGCTATTTCGGAGCTATCTGTATAATCTTTAGTTTTAATCTAGCGCCAGTTGTTCTTGACGCACAGCCTGTGAACTTCAGAGTGCTCGTTACCTTGGCCACGACCTTAATAAGCTTCGCTGATCAGTTTGACGTGAGTTGGCGACAAAGGTACGTCGCCTCGCGACCTATGATTTGAGACGCTGTGGACTCCAAATTAACATCTCATTACTGAAGTACGTATTTCATTGGGAACAAGAAACATTCGGTGTTTAGATAGCAAGATAGCAGCTTTAACACTGTAACGTTACCCTTTTTGGTCATAACAATTTACCCTAAACACGCAAATATACTAAAGAGAAAACACGTTAGTACATTTCTTCCGTAAAATCCTCCAAAAATTTTATTTGCACATATCAGCATTGAAAACGTTGGAAGTCTCCCAAGCTTTATGAACACTTTTTTTAAATTTATTTTAGTTTATGATAATACAATAGATAATTATTGCATTTTTAAAATTCCTAGAAAACTTTCATTCTGATGGGTAGTTGTGTAATACAATCGTTTGCTAGAAGCTCAATACATAATGAAAGTATACAATTGTACAAAAACAATTCATAATACAACAACAAATAACAAAATTAATAACAAACCCGTAAGATAGAAAGCACGATATTTCGGTGAACTAATATAAACTTAATTGTAACTTATTCCGAATATTCAATTCATGCAACCAACAAATAATATTCTTTGATTTTAATAACAAAAGAAACACTCATAGTGTCAGGGTATGTCAAACTTCCATTAATCTTTGCCCTAATTTAGAGGCAGAGTTTAAACATCCAGTGTGTCAGGCGTTTTGAGAACGCAAATCAAAACCAATATCAGCACCACCAGCGAGTGACCGGTTAATGGTTGATTATCTGTAGTCATTTGAGCGTGTGACATTATTCGCCTACACAAGGTGGATTACGCGATAAATAGTTCACCCAGTCCAAATCAGATAAACAATGCATTCACAAATGCTTTTTTTCAAATAACCTGTACAACACTGACCACAATTTTCTGATCAAGATGATCCGATGAAAGTGAATTTTGTTTAACACGACGATCTAAATGTGAAACTAACATGATCATTGGTTTCTCAAGTGAATCATGGGAATCATCAGTCCATTTCTCCCGAAAATCTGATAGCCGCTTCGTGATTCACCATGCGACTACGGGACTTACGAGCGGTATTTCAATCTGCTCCCTCTCTAATCGGCGATCACATGTAGCCGAGCACCCAGGGAAACGACATCGCCCCGAGCTAATC